AGCGCCGTAAAACAACACTCGATCATTGAGCAAACGTTCCATGCAGAAACAGTGACAATATTCTATAAACTATAGTCCGTTTGACTTCATTTGAGACCGATGAATTGCTCACTAACACAAAAACTAATAAATGCCAGGTGTGCGAGTTGTACGTGTGAAGTTGATATTTCACTGCACACGCTTGTTGATTACCTGGCTGTTCTACCAGCAAGTGGTCCTCCCTCGTAAGAAACAGCTAAAAGTGACAACAAAATAATGATCGTTTGTAAAACAACTTTTTTATTCGGGTGTCCAAAATTATGAGACAAATCATCAGAGTTGGTCTGTCGATTTCATGTGACTGTGCAAAGTTTGATTTTGTTGCATTTATTAGATTTTGTGTTAGTGAGCAATTCATCGGTCTCAAATAAAGTCAAACGGACTATACATAAACAAGATGTATAATGAATCATATATATATATGAGTATCAAAACATATAATAATACAAATGTGTATAATAATGGCCATTAAATGGCCCTGTTGTCATCGGAATTATATTTGCATATGAACTACCAAATTCAATGAAAGTTACTAAAATTAATCCTTTAATCTTCATTAATATATTTGTTTCGGAAAAAAACCGTGTCACATGACACATCCAGCACTTAAAAGAAATTATACCATGACATATTAACCATAGAGATATGAAAGAATCCGATTTCATTGAACTTCTTTGTATTTTCATGAAAATTTAGTTATTCAAAAAAGACCAACAGACGTAAATCACCTTTAATGCTGAAATATGTGCACAAAAATCTACACAATTTGCTGGATTTCACGGAATTATTGTCAAGCCATGTGTCGAGGTATGGAAGTTCGACATAAGAGGGACGCCCCTGCACGCAACATCCCCATTTATTGCACCTCCAGCTACTCGACTTCACCCCCGACGGCACACATGCACATTCTGGCATAATTCAATTCTGACCACAGACGGCAAAGGTCTTAAAAAACCCATGAAAATTTACGTTATAGTTTCAACGTGAAAAAAATGGTAACATTCGTGGGATATAAACGCACGTCTGCAGTGTGAGTTGGGTTAAAATGTTTATCCCTATCTGGTGAATTTATTTAGAAATTATACGCAAACGAGATAAACTGTCGGGAGTTTCCGCTTATGATTGTATCTTCCATGCCTCTCCTTCTCCGAGTCAGTTATCACTGGCGGAATCATATAGCTTGGGTATGGGTAATCAGCTCCCCCGCTACCAGCGCCTCCCCCTCTCCCTCCACGTAACAGCGTCCCGATCTGGTTTTTATTACATGAGGAATAGAAAGATAAAAGAAAGGATGGAGTGAATAAACTTTCTTATCTTTTCAATTTGTCTACTCATATTTTGACACACCAGGAAATGTTTTCTATCGCTGCAGATTCCTGTGTGAAGTGGTTGAAGTATATAGTTAAGATATACGTTGTGAATTACCTCTCGTAACCACTAATAGAGTCATCCTGCTTAAAAGAGACTTGAAACCGGAAGCGTGTTTGATTTGAACTAAAATTTGAAATTCGTTAATTTCACAGCGAACAGTTCGAACTTATTTGTTTAAACTTATCGTATGTTTGAGGCATTTTGATAAATTCACGTCATGAGAGTCAGTTATACAGGCGTAGAGGTGGAAATTGAGTTATTTTCTTTTTAAATAATTTGTGTCAGTCTGTATACCCACGCGCTAACTTTGACCAATCAAAAGAGTAGTCTATTTTTTTACCATGTTGTTCATACCATGTTTTCGTCATATCCGTATATCCGCTTCGTGCTTTTTGAATTATGCATGCGACACATCCGCTATCGCCTACCCTTCCCCAGACAACGTTTTGTGTCTGTCAATATTATTTACGCTGCAGTCATGTCCAAACTACACATTCCAGATGTGTCCTAGCACCTAATGTCAACGATAATGATTCTAAAATGAAAGTTGGGCCTCGACATATAAAAAATATAAATATTTCAAATGACCCTTACTTGAATTCAAAGTAGGAACTGGGATAGGCTAGAACCTTTTTAAGCCAAAGAGATCGCATACATAAAAAATGAGAAAAACTTTCAGAGATTTGTCTGATCATTTGAGCACCTGCATGTTCTGGATCTATAACAAAGGTAGTTTTAGTGATAATCGAAAATGTGTGAAAAATGTTTATTTAGGATGTTTCAGGAGGCATTCTTGTGTACATTGAACTCAAAAAGTCTTTAACCTTTATTGATTTCGAGATGTTGACTAACAGTTGACTTCTTCCACCCGTTACTTACCCATGTACCCGTGAAGATCTGGGTAAGAATATATTTTCAGTTACCCATGCTTGTCGTAAGAGATGACTAACGGGATCTGGTGGTCAGGCTCACTAACTTGGTTGACAGATGTTACCGTATCCCAGTTGAGTAGATCGATGTTCATGTTGTTGATCACTGGATTGTCTGGTCCAGACTCGATTACTTACAGACCGCCGCCATATAACTTGAATATTGCTGAGTGCGGAGTAAAAACTCAACTCACTTACCATTGTTGTTTATATACGACGGTACGTGGCGAGACCGCCGTCACTATGGCTACTGGTATCATTGGCACCACATTTGGTTTTGATCATGTCAAAAGTTCAAGGTATTTTTGTTTTTCTTATCATAGTTATTCATTCATTCTTTTTATTTACGATATCCACCACATTCGTTTCATAGATCTTGTAATATGATGTCACGTTTCCTGTTGGTACAATTTGAATCACAGTTGTCTGTTTTGTTTCAGAAGTCCAAAGTTTATTTCATACACCGTCGTTAGTTTTCGTGTACGACCATGTTGTAAAAAACGACCTCACGATGCCTGTTGGTATCATTCGCCACATCCATGCTTGATCATGTCGAACGTTCAAGTTAATTTGCGAACGTCATCTTTCTTTGGTCATTCTATCTATGTCCGACTGTACATGCCTGTTTGTATCGTGTGCACGTTCTTGATCATTTCGTTCACCTTCGTTCCTTATGCATTCTTATTTGATACGACTACATGTGTGAGAGACCGACGTCTTGATGCCGTTGGTATCATCCGTATCGCTCAGCAGCGTAACAGCGATGACGTCACACACCCGATAATACAAGGCATGGTCCATACTGTAGGTGATGTTGTCTGTCTCACAGTCTCTGAACCTCATTATTTTCCCTACTGCCTATAGCCCTCCTAGACTAACAACTAGTCTCTGTAGTCTCAGAAATGAACATATTTTACAGAAAAACCCAGTTCATAATAAAAAAAATAAGATATAATGAAAAGGAGACCTGAGACTTTCTTCATTTTCAGAAACTGTGGAAATCTAGACTTCGTTGCATAATCTAGACTTGCAAAGGCTTTCTTGGATACGTTCATTTCAGAGTCTGGATGACAGGCTATAGCCCTCCCTGCAGTGCTGAAGTATTAAATGAAGCAAGTTAGATGTCCCTGGTGCTGCTTTTCAATTTAAATGGATATTTGTTACTATCAATATTACATATATTCTGAGACTTCAATATTACATATATTCAGAGACTAAGCGTCAGTCTCTGAGTTCAACTCTGCTATATGGCGCCGGTCTGTCAAAGAAGCCAGGCACTACAGGGGTTGACAGTATGGACATCAATTTACGCAACTGGGATACGAGGACATGCATCAACCACGTCAGCGAGCCTGACTACCCTATCCCGGTAGACACCTCATACGACAAGCATGGGTTGCTGAAGATCAGTTCTAACCTGGATCTTGAGGAAGCGGAAGTATATACTGGACTCTCTCTTTCGCGTGTTCTATTGTCTGGTGTTTGAACATTAATAATTTTGAGAGTTGGACGTTGTAAATGAAATTGATGCTTGCATTTTCTAGAGCACTGAGACTCGTCATCTTAACACGATGCTTTCTGTGCCTCTGTTCTTGGGTGTACGTGTTGGTTGCGGTCTATGGTCTCTGGTTGTGTGGACGTTGTCTTTGTACATCACTGTTGCAATCAGTTTGACCGCACTTCACCCCTTGTTTCTTCATAACATTCCCGACGACATCAATCTTGACCACCATTGCTTCTGTTTTCCCTTACAAACTTCTTATTATATGATCGCTTCCTTTTTGTTCAATGGATAATTTGCAACATTTGTTGACATTTAATAAAACTACAAACCCGATGGATCTGTTATAGCATATCAATTATGTATTGGCATTCTGATCAGATCCAAGTGGAACGCCAATCTTTGTACGTCTTTCATGGAGAATAAATTGAACCTCCTTGTACAACACCAGCAGATCCAAGTTGCTGCATTGCGCACTCTGTTTTTTTCTCTCTCTCTCTCCAGGTGATGTGATCTGGCACTTGTGTATATACGTCATCTTTAACGCACGTTGTCCTGGTTGTAACTGAGGCTGGTGCAATGTTTCTGATCTTTTTATCCAAATCGTTTTGTCTCCTCTTTGTTTCGTGACAGTTTTTATCCTTTTCACATTAAAGATAAACACCGGACCAACCCCAAACATGTTTATTAATTTCACGTTTCCAACATTAAGTGTAAACATGATATACACACATCTTCTGTAAGGCAACACTGCCTTATGTTTTAAATCAAGGATTCCTGTGGTCATTCTCCATTACTTTCTACTCTCGAGTGACCGACATTGTTTACATAATGTACATACAGTGTATGATGTTGACATACTAAAGCGCCAGGCACACCCAGGGCTTAGAAAAAGCTATAACGGTGAACAGTCAATTGAACACCTTCTGAAGACGCTCAGCATCAGTCGGTGTGTCTTGCAATGTTCAATATTTCACAAATAACGTCTGTGGGTATTGTGACGCTTTTGTAGGATTTGTGCTGAACTTTAAAGTTAGGCCAAACTGAATCTATGGTATTGTATCATGAACATGATCCAATAAGGTCCTCTGTTTTCCAGATCCTAGAGAATATACCAAATAATATTCCTACTCAAGTCAAGACTGATTTGGAAAGTCTAGATTGCCCCAGATTTGAGAGTACAACATTCATATATTTCTTTCAAATCAATATGATTCTAAACCTTTGGGTAAAATACAGTATACACTTGAGAAACGTTACAAGACTGAAACCAGTCGCTAAAACATTAAACTTAAAGTCCCACATGAAACATATGACAAATACATCAAGTTGTTTGTTTCAACTGTTAACCACCACCAAGCAAACTTTCTTTTGCACGACAATTAATGTGGGTTTATGTGGTTCAATTGATGCCAATGTTCCAATCACAGCCAGTACTCCAGTCACGCTGCACACCTGCGTTCGACTCCCTGGATACCATATCTTCTTGACTTGCCCAAGCCGACACTGAACCACTGACTTCCTAACCAATATAACTTTAAAATATTATATCTCTAATGATTCAAACTAAAACGCTTATTAAAAGCAACAATATTTTCAGACATACAAACAAATCATATCAGTCATAATGATGGCGCGTCACAGTATGAAGGAGCGGATCGATGCTCTCCTGCCAGCCACTGGTCTGCCTGTATCAGTCCCGATTAAATACAGACTACTGTGGTATAACTGGATATATACCTGGAGACTATGGGATATAGCTGAATAAGCGTAAAAGTAGTACATGTATATTTACTGAAAAAGGGTGGAACAACGGATTATATCATCTGGCGGGCTGGTGGGTATGGCAGCATACTGCCTTACAATTGTAGGTGTTATTTCACATTATCTGGTATCATACATACACTACATAGATGGTACTCTACAACAACTACAATTAACAACAGCAACTATGCTCATCCTCCTAATATAGAGTTACACAGAGAAAGCAAGCTGACCCCATGGTGCACAAACAAAGAGATAGAATTACTAGACACAGGTAGTATTATGTTATCATTAGTAATTACAGAGATAAAACCAGGCCAGGCCATACCTGCTGGTGATTCCTTAAATTTGAGGTAATTAGTGTGTTTATATACAGAAGGCCAGCCAGACCCGGCACACAAACGAGACAGAATCCGCCCGATAAACAAAGGGCTAAAGAAAGCTCCGTGCACCATGCCCAACTGTGGGGAGTTTTCTCCTTTGACGTCACGCAATCCAGGGATTGTCTCAAGCACACTTTCACAATTTACCTGTTGTTTTAGTTGTATATTTTCTACCAGGAAAAGAGTACAAAAACGTGATAATATAAACGATAAGGGCGAACAAAATAAATAAAGGGGAATCGAAAGATTCAAAGTTTTAAGAAAACAAATTAACACGGCTGACTTTTGAGATGATCTTTTATCGTGTCAGGAACAATGAGTTTACACAAGGTAGAGCTGACACTACAGTACTGGCGTGTCTACCTTGGTGCTATCTGGTGCCACGGGTTCCTGATAAATAATGGTAAGTCTGCATAGATCAGACGTTACGGCCACTCCTGTACTGGTATACTGCTTCTGTGTCAGGATACCTACATTCCTGATACTAGCTTTTTTATTTAATAGCTCATTAGCACCTTTTATGAGAAGACGTACCTGGAGAATCCAAATGGTCGTCGTCGTTGATGTTTTGCCGGCATGATACTGGGGAACCCCGGCCTTACAAGAAACGGTCCCCATGTTTAGGGAGCAAACACGTTGCAGAGTCTGTGAATGTTATTGTACGCCAAAGTCTGCAGTATTCTAGCTATGTGATGGGGCAATGCAAATATTCTGGGTCATGCAAGCCTGTGATTGACAGCATGAGCAACGACCAACGCTGTCTTCAAATTGTGTCACGTGATCAGCCAGGGGACACTTTGCAGCCATCCACCATATTCAGATCATCCGTGAGAAAACCGACTTGTGTTTTACTGACTGAACAAGAAATATTTTACTCAAGCATTAGTTATGATATTTCCCAATGACCCAGACATGTCCTTTCTGTGTCTAACCTCAAAAAGAAAGAAATAATTTGTCCCAAGAAAATCAGACAGGACAAAGAAAACCTGGCAATTTTCCAAACAACTTGGGCTAAGAAACAAAACCTCTTAGGGCACACATACGCAGTAACAGTATTAAAGTAACAAAGATCCTTATATCTTTAAATTATGATGCTGAATATATTGCATTAGGTCTGTCTGAAAGTTGGACTAGGTTCACCTGGAAGTTGAATTCGGTTTGTCTGAATGTTGAATCAGTTCTGAATGTTAACCTGAGTTCACCTGGATCGACCAGGCAACTGTCTGAATTTGATTCCTTGGTCTTTCTAAATGTTAGACTGGGTAAATCTGAATGTTGAATTAGGTGAAACTGTCTGAATGTCACTGTGGGTTTGTCTGAATGTTGTATCAAGTAATTATCTGAAAGTCTGAATGAATGGGTTGTCTAAATCTAAATGTTGTATCAGCCGACTGTCTGAAAATGGGAACCATGTTACAAGATAGTAAACTTCCCTGAAAATGTTCCTCAGAGGTATCACACACATGCAATGGAAGCCATCTCACGTTTCCCTTCTTTCTGCAGACATCTCAATAAAGACAGAATAAAGTCTCATGCCTGATACTGTATCAAGGTAATTGGCCGTTCCTCCAGGAGATCTGGCTACGATCAGCTAGCTACTGTTCCATGCAGTTTGTAATTACAAGACTAAATCCAGCCCCGTGGGTCAACAGAGCTCCAAGGTGCGTACGCCAAACACACCAAATCAAACACACACGTGCCGGAATGTTCATGTTCATCGTGAAGTATATCGCTCAAAACAAGTTAAGGAACACCTGATTCTTTCATATTACCCAAGTTAATCTGTCATGCCATTACACAGCAAATGACAGAAGACAACCAGAGACACAGAAATACGAGTGTGTATTTGTACAGCAAGGAAGGTGTTGAAATTTCATTCCATGAAGAACCAAACTGGTAAAGTTTTGTACATAGTGTACTGAGGCGGTCACACAGTAAAGGGAAGATAACTCTTATGGATGGCTAAAACCTAAATTTCAAATGAGCAATGGGGAAAATAGCACTGACCTCCAAAATTCAAATGACACAAACAGAAACACATTTTTGTTGCATTATTGTCATTGCATGATGAAACTAAAAACAGGGAAAGTCCACAGTTTGTTGTAGACATTGCTCCATAATGATTGTCTTCAGGTTATACAGTAACAGTATATTACTTCTTCATACTTGACACTATTTGGTGTACAAGAACTGTGAACAGTGTCTCAGCAATGAAATATTAATCTGATTACATTAATTCATTTTTCATTATTCATTTGGGCAAGGTATGAAGAGTTAAATATTTTTCTGTAATTGCATCATAACTGTATGGGTTCTGATTGGCTGAATGGCATTTCCTGTTATTTGCAAGTCAGAAACAAAATGGAAGCAGCACAAACCACAAACTAAATTTCTATTCAAATAGAATTCAGGATAGACTTTCTGTTTGTTCCAAATTCTGGGAGGTCAAATGATGAAATATATTGACACATTTCTAATTTGATTATCATTTTTCCTCAAAATATTAAGTAAACATTTTAATTATTACTTCAAATTATTTATTTATATCGATGACACAGTAATTTGTTTTAAATATTTCTACCTTACGCTGACGAAAAGAATGAAAAATGAATTTCTCTTTCACCTTCCATTTTTTTCAAATCAGCATGTTCCAAACAAAGTTTAGAAAACTAACCCTCTCATCACACCAAATTCACTCTCACCTTGTCATGGGGGTTGCCATGCTTTAACAGTTTCGGAGCTGCAAAAAGTTCCAGAGGTACCCTGCACAGAACAGGAGATATGTTTTACTGGTGATGCCTGCGGCGATGACACTGATAAATGGTACATCTTCGTATGTATCATCTGCTTCCTAACACCAACAGTTGTCATCCAATCAACTTCTCACACTTTCTTTGCCTTTTTCTTCCCTTGTAACCAGCTATGATGTGTGTGGGCACTGTAAGACTTTACCAGTCCGACTCATCCATTGCAAACTGCATCTATTCCAATTACATATTTTTGTTCCCCTGATGATTTATAAACATATCCTTGACATACCATTTATCAACATGTCACAAAACAACAAACTTTGAAGGTCAGCTTACTGGCACCAATACAAAGATATATTTATTAACATAATATATGGAAATGTTTATTCACTGTCATAGTTGTGGTCAGTCATATGGTTGTATATATTCTACTCAAAACAAATCCAAGACCAACCATAGCAGGAAGGTTCCACAATAGATTAAATATTCTTGTATAAAGAGACTGGATATTCTTTAACTTATTTTGAGTGGGGTAGGTAGAAAGCCATCTTAGTGCTATGGTTACAGTATTACCATGTTAAAGTAAGGAAGTTCAGATCATATTAGAGCTAAGAGCTTGTTTGGATATACTACTTAAAAGAAGTTAAATGAGTGAGTATGGTTTTACACCGCTTCTAGCAATATTCCAGCAATATCATGGTGGGGACACAAGAAATGGGCTTCAAACATTGTACCCATGGGGGGAATCGAACCAGGTCTTCAGTGTGACGAGCGAACGCTTTAACCACTAGGCTACCCTACTGCCCCTAAAAGTAGTCAAAGGACACCCACAATTGGAAGCTGTGTGTTGCATTACCCATCAGCCAACAGATACAGTTCTATATATAGAATCAGGTGTTCTTAACTTCAGTTGAATAGTATACATACAAACTGATCCTAACACTACCACTTCCAAGTTTATCATGCAGTATGGGAGTTATGATCATGTTAGCTCTAACATCTGTTTGTGAAACTTGGTCCAGGTCCTTGTACGAAAAAGAGTTAAGAAATTAACAGTACACATGAAAACCACAAAGGTATATCACTAATCAGTGGAAAATATTTGGGTATTTACAAAGTTCATTTTGTCGAACCTGTCTTGTTTGACATCTTCTTCTAGCTGTAATTGAGGCAGAAACCATCTTGGCATGGTATTAGCTCAGGGATCATGTCAGATTGAGCCTGTTGTGGCCATCATCCTCCCACACATTTACCTGAGGGAGGACTGGGGAAGGGGGAGGAGGGGTAATTAAGGCCAGGTAAGGAGGGGGCAAAGGGTGATCAAGTGGGGTTTTACCCGTGGAACATGCTGGGATTCCAGGTTTGAATAGGCCTGCAGCAGCCTATGGTGGGTGTAAATGTTGGTTTGTTGTATTGGGTGAGTGAGTTAATATTTAACGTCACATCGGCAATATCGCAGCCATATCGTGACGACTTGTATTGGGTGATCAGGCTTGGTGACTTAGTGAATACACATCGGCATATTGTGGATTGTTGCATGTACTATCAATCACTTGATTGTCTAGTCCAGATACCTTTATCTACAGGCCATTGTGACATTGCTGTCATATTGCTGAAAACAGTGTAAAACCAAAATCTCCTGCAGAACCTACCTGGATGTCTTCTGAGTTTGATTCTGATCCTGGTGCAGGCACACCACAGCTGATATACTGGTGGCTGTGAAGAGTACAGAGGTATGGTAGTGTATCACACTATCATGATACTATGGTACATAGATACACAACTACCAGTATGGTGCATTAACTCAGATATTATATTATAGATACATAAATATTCTTGTATCATCATGATACACATCTGCCTGAACGGTACATTAACTAAGATATTATATTAATGGTACATAAATATTCTTGTATCATCATGATACACATCTGCCTGAACGGTACATTAACTAAAATATTATATCAATGGTACATAAATATTCCTGTGTCATGACACACTACACATGCTAGTATGGTAAAATGATCTTGGACAATGTCATACTTACAGTACCTAAACATTCTTGACACTGTTAAAATTCTTTTCTGTTACCTTCAAATATTGATGACCACCCATTCCATATTGGAACATGAATCGTATCAGTTATTTCAATATCTTTATGGTCAAGCCATAAATGTGAAAATGATTTCTACGTTATGTACTCAAATACCCTCCCGCAGCTCTTATTGGCAGTGATCTCACAGTCAGTACTTAAATCTGCTGAAATGAAATGTAACTAATTAATGCCCACCTCTACAGGGCCCCCGATGGAAGTGCATGCATGAAGTGTAGTGGGACTGGATAACCTGAAGATTTCTTCATGGCTTAGTAACCATGCACTCTGTGGTCAGCACTGGCGGACATCACCAGATGGTGGGGAGGAATCGGCTCATCTATACTTACTGGGGAGTCAGATCATCACAACATATCTCGGAATTTCTGTGGACGGAATGGCAAAAACATCAAATTGTTAGTAAAATATTAGTGAAATATTGGACTTGATAAAATATGATTGGATATTGAGTCACAGTCTTAGTCAAGCAAACCTGTGGTTGATACCATGAGCAACAGGTAACTTTGTAGGGGTAGGTGAAACACGTCAGAGAGGTCACATTGTGAGTGAGTGAGTTTAGGTTTACGCCCCACTCAGCAATATTCCAGCTATGTGTAAATAATTGTGTCTGGACCAGACAATCCAATGATTAACAGCATGAGCATCGATCTATGCACTTGGGATATGATGACATGTGTCAGCCAAGTCAGCGAGTCTGTCTACCCGATCCCGTTAGTCACCTCTTACGACAAGCATGGGTTACTGAAGACCAGGTCTAACCTGGATCATCACGGATAAGTGACATTGTGAGGACACGATAGACTCTAACACCCAGCATTGGGCATTGGGGACATATTGTCTCCTGGAATACCATAGTATGAGGGATAGAGAGCTTTTACAGAGAAAGGTGGCTATGTTTCATATCTTTAAGATGTAGGTTTTACACAGAACCCAGGATACCCCACCAGCACCATAACATGGACAAGCATTGAAGTTTGCTGCTGGTTTGCTTTATTTTAATTTTGTTTTATTAGCTGGTCAGCTCATTACATGATGAAACAATAAGAAAATAAAACTCTCATAAACGATAAAATTTCTTAAATATTTTACAAATAATACTTGATAAAATGTATTGTATATTATAGTGGAAACCAAAAATGGTAAATTTATTCTAAATATTGTTTCATTTCATGATGCCAGCATGTTTATCTGAGATGTAAAGGTTTACCCAACAAGATTAAAACAATTCCATCACAAACCAGGCTACTCGGCTGAGGTAACACAGCATGTCACACACAACATGCCCATGTTTGAATGACCTAGACATATGGGTATTTTTAATCAAGAATTAAATTGGTTTTAAATCTTAACAAACAGAGATCTCGCCACAAATTTGGGATGAGTCATAAGCAGAGATTACACTGGAGTCAAACCCAGCCATTTAACAATCCCATTTGTACACAACGTACAGCAAAGGCTCTTGATAGTGTCAGACTGCTGGATTTATACAAACAGTGAGTACCGTAATCATCCCAATAACTGAGGTAGTCACTGGACACACTGTGTGAAGTGTGTACAGACAGTCATGGCACTGGAAACCAGAAAGGAGATTCCAACATTGTACCTTGTTAGAACTGAGCTCGGGCCTGTAGTGTGATGGGAGAACACTTTACCCACTGAGCTACCAACACCACCCTGTACACCTGTCAAGTGAGATGCACAATCAACCACCCTTTTAAACATCCTATCAAAACAGGTGCAAGGCTGTAACCATGGAAACAATCAAAACTTGTCCTTTTTGAGGGAAGTTAATTTCCTAAAAACAAACCATAGAATTAAAGTGAAAATAGACACAAAAACTGTTCAAAATATGCAAAATTTGTGAGTATAACAAGTACATTTGCCAATTAATCTTATTTCCACTTTTGAAACATTTAGCCAGTGGCAGTCTGCTAACAAGAACAGTCATGACTGCTGTTTTACCTGACACATATTTTGAAGTTTTATACATTTGTCCATAATGAGCCTTTGTATGGTTTGAATCTCGGTCTCTGTGTTGGCCCTGTTCATGATCCTTGGTTTGCCTGCACCACGGGCTCATGGGTTTCACTCAAGCTGTAAATGTCTGAGACTAGACTGTCTCACAGTCACTCGACTGCATTATCTCCTACTGCCCAGCCCTTCCTACAATGCTAAAGCCTGAAATGAAGCAAGTTTAGATTTCCTCAGGTTCAGGTTCTGAGTCTCCGTTCTCACAGGGGCTCCTTTTCAATTTAAATGTTATTTGTTATTATAAAACTTATATATATTCAGAGACTAAGGGTTAGTCTAGTCTAAGTCTTTGTGCTTTCTTCCTACTTCAAGTTGACACGCTGTGGTATTTACAGTTAAAAACAACCTAAATCCCAAATGACTCACTCACTCACTCATTATCTGAGTGAGTTTGATTTTATGCTGCTTTTAGCAATATTCCAGCAACATCACCAGAAATGGGCTTCACACATTTTACCCATAGGGGGAATCAAACCCGGGTCTTCAGCATGATGAGCAAATGCTTTAACCATTAGTCAATTCTTATATACTCGGCCAGAATATTTCCTTTCCATTACAACATCTGGAGTATAGTTCACATTTATTTTAAAGTTTAAGTCACAGATCTGACTCTGATATATGCATTAACCTGACAAAATGACATATTCAAACACTGTGATTAATCTCAACCTTTGATATAAGCATTGCAGAAATATCATTTAAACAAACAAAACCTTTATGAAGGTATTTAATCCATTTTGTTGAAACACATCAGTTTGATCACTGTTTACAGTTCTGGTAATTCATTTCTACATATTTTAGTCTTATTTAGAAATGAGAGAGAAACAATCTGAACTGAATTTTCAGGAGTGACCCAGATTTTAAGCAGTAAGGTATTACAAGCCTAGACAATATTGTGTGTTTTTTCCAACACCGCTTGAAAGTCAACCTCACAACCATCAGCCTGTGCTATCTGATTTAAATTCAGCTGACACTATACTCAGCCAGCAATGAAAATACCTCCCATCATCATTAACGGAGCGTAGCATTTTTTCAGATAGGAAACTTTGAGAAACCGTTAAATATGTGGTATGATGGTGAGAATGAATAGACATAAACCTCAACATGCAAATTTAGGTGCTCTTTCTTCTGAAGTAACCGTTAGGGTCACATACCAGGGTGTCAAGTTACCGCAGACACTTGCTGAGACTGGGTAGGTCTTGATAACATTTGGCGATAATAATACCCTTCTTTTGTCTGCGTATAAATAAATGTACCCGTTTCTAGGGCACTGTTTTCATGACAACCAAACAAGATGAGAACCGAAGAAAATAATTGCGAGTGAATATCCTTTGTCTGGATCCATCCACTGTGACATCGTGGATGTTGCACCAACTTCTCCATTTCAAGTTCAGCTTAGGTAAATTGAAATATAGATTGATGTGATTTGGAATATTGCTGTAGATATATCCTCGTGTGTTAGGGAATAAAGGCCATCGAT